TCTTGTCCTCTCGTTTACGCGATCCCTCACAACCGAATGTCCAATGAACACGCAAAATTGGATGTTCGTTCCGATATTCTTTAACCCAATTATTCGTTCACGCAGGACACACGCATGCGATAAAAAAAATCAAATCTTTTACCGCTACATATTTTTTTTTTAATAGAATTTATTTCTGAAATTATATTTTTCACTGGACATCATATCACATTTAATTTTTGCGGAAATTGTTATAATATTTGCAAGACAGGCATTTTGATATATACGTATATTAATTGTCGAATTTGTAATTTTGTTTCTACTTCTTAAAAAGAAAGTCTCCCACCAGTATGGCAAGTATAAAAAAAGTATTGAGCACGTATCGCTGGAGTTTCTTCTATATCGCAGTAAAATTATTTACTGGATCGTCCTTTGAACATTGGTACTGTCATGTATTTAGAGAAAAGTCCCCTATTATGAGATAGGCTTCTAATATGAGATAGCGGAGTTTCTGCTAAATTAATGGGCATCATCTGTTGGTCCAACCACGAACTTATTGCCCTTGGAGTGAAATCTGTTTAGTGGAAAAACGATCGTTAGATCGTGTAATCGTTGCGAAAAAAGATTTGTCATTGAATTTGGACATTGAAAACCTGCTATCTCGTATTAGAATCCTATCTCATAATAAACGACTTTCCTCTAACAATAAGTTACTGATATATTGAAATTGGTGTGAACATTTCCAGCGAAAAAAAACGTTGTACGGGGAAAATGTGAAATGAGAATCAATCGATTGCTCAATCGAGAAAAATTATCATCATATCACGTATGATCGATCTCGTTTTCTTTGGAACAAGATTATGGGGGGGCGACCGCCCCATCTTCCTAGTTTGGACGTTGGAGATGACCGTGATGGACATCCTTCGAGGCCGCGTTTCCTTTAGCTCGCTCTAACTTGAAAGGTCTCTCATTTTATCAGGAAAATTAACCCTAAAGCTTCTAAGGAGGGCAAACATCGTCGACGTTTAAGGGAATTATCTAAAATTAAAATGTACACGGTGTGTCGTCGCATAAATTCCTTTGTCGAATTGGTCCAACTTTCCCCCCCCCCCTTTTTTTCACGAAGCCGGACGAGATGACTTTTGATCATCCTCGACGATCAAGGAAATTACACACGACGGGACGGGAATGAATCCGGCCGATCTGACGATTGCGATTACGCGAAATAGCACGCGGCGAACGAAGCTTTACTCAGGATTTCGAGGAACTTTTCCGTATCGATCGTACGCCCTTACGGAACCGTAGCCTTCTGCGTATCTTGAATTTTCCGCGAACTCGATTGTAAATTTTCCACCTCGAATATTCGAACTTGAGGTGGCGGTGGACTCCACCAGATGCACTCTCCGCGAATGACCGGAGTGCGCGTGTGCACCGGAACTCACGATTTATCCGCGCAGAAATTTATAATACACACACCGTGTGTGCTCCAAGTCGGCCGAACCGAAATACGTTCCCGCGACTTGTCGCATTTCTGAACTTCATCCGACAGTAATCAATCTGGTTTAATCGATCCTAGAGAAGAATCTATCTATTACGATCGACGCTTTCGACGTACAGAATGGACCAGCTCAAACGCAAATACCTTGTCACATAATACAATTACAGTCACTGTAGTCTCGCCACAGTCCGTTACTACCTTTACTTTCTTTTGATGACTATGGTCCCAAGAGAAGGTAATGTCGTTTTACTAATAGCGCTCTTGCAATATCGTAAGGTGAAGTTAGATTGTACCAGCGGGGATAATTTTGCCCTAATGAATGAAAATTGTAGTACAGTGTAATTTATTACTTTCAATGTACTTATCCTTCTTTTACAGAAGCAGAGATTGGAAATGGTGTGATCGTCGCGTGCCCATTGTTGGGAGTAAAGGGGTCATTTTTCCGCACAGAGTCGGACTCGATCAAAAGTACATTGGTCTGTATCAATTTTAATTGTTACTTAATCAAAAGTACGAGTAGAGAGAGAGGGGGGGGGGAGAGAGAGAGAGAGAGAGAGAGAATTACACAGATCTCTGTGCTTGGCATCGAAAGTTTGCCCCGGCTAAAAATGCGGACGATTTTAGCCGGCGTTGCTCCTGCTCTTCGAGCGGGGTTCGGATTTGGGTTTTGCCGCAGGGGTAGGTGCGCAGAGTGAACGTGGATCGATCCCCCTCGGCGCGAGTGCGAATGGGGGGTTGCGACCGAGTCGCCCTCTCCGCTGCTCGGTATCCTGGCGTGTTCATCCTCGAAAACGGGAACGTTTAAAGGGTGGTACGTTGCTCAACGGAACAAATCGAAATTCAAACACAATCGACGATAACGCGCTACCACGGGTGTATCGTAATAGCGGCGCCGATCTGCGAATCTTTTTGCGGGAAAAGAGAAATTTTTTTAGACGGGGATCAGAAAGAAAATCGGCGAATCTGTCTTCGACGGAAAAATAAAGTAACGAGTCGTTATCGGCGCGATACACGCGCGCGAGTCTCATTATCGGATGCGTTTTATCAGACTTGGTACCGCCGTTATAACTCGAATGTAGGTTAGCGGCGGCGGATCCAAGAGAAGGGATGCCGAGTTTTCTTCGAAAAATCAATAGACATTTCTGCCCCTGGGTTTCACCTTGTCGCACTAATAACGCCTGCCGTTAACTCGCTTTCCAAGATTCGTATCGCGGGTATCCTGTATCGAAGGATCTGATGGCTAGACTCACGGGGGAGATCTTTATGCAGGATTCACTATTACTCGTAAGTTTAATGATCGTTAGAAGCGAAGTTAATCTTTCTTTCGATTTGCGAAAACGTCTCGAGGAATATTCACTTCAAAATTTACCCTGTTTATATCGCAATTGCCAACATCAGTATTGTATTGTTTCAGACATTACGCTATCATTGTCGTTTGAATTTAAATGAAAAACAAAACTTTATCCGCATCGTAACTCGCTTACTCACAAAATTATCGATACTTCTCTCCGATTTGAGTCTTAATTAGTCAAAGATTTTGCAAATAAAGTCCGCCTGGTGAAGTTGATAAAAATCTCGTGTGATAGTCTAAGATTAACCGCAGAACGCGTGCCGCAGACCTAGCACTAACTCACCTGACGATAGATTTTCGACTTGACGATTGATTTCGGCGCGGCAACGATAATGTGTCGCGTATGCGAAAATAAATTCGCGCAGTCTTACGCGTACACACGATAATTCGCGAACGGACTCTCGTCGATCATTGGTCGATCGTTGGTCGCGAATCGAAGTTGGGACGAGGTCGAGCGTGAAGAGATCCCGTTTACCTTCGCAAGTACGTTTCCACCTGACTCGTACATACCTGAGGAACCTGTACAGTCACGCTCGCACGGTTTCTAGCAATCGCCGCTGTATCACCAACTACCTTAACATCCAGATACTCGCACTTATTATTGGTGCGCGCGTAATGTGTCGCAAGTACATCCAGATGCTAGTATTATTCGCCTATCCGCGACACTTGTCTCGGTATTCGTGCTCGGTACTCGTCCAATTTCATCGGCAACGAGCGAACTCGATGCATTAGTCACACGATAGAACCATGTAGAAACCAACGGAACTTGTTCGGGCTTCATAGGATAATTTTTGTTGAAAAATGTTCGACTTTTTGAAACTATATTTTGTTGCTGGGACTTCCAGTTTTTTTTAAACTTCGTACGCGAAAAGTTATTTTTCAAAAAGCAATTGTTTATGAATGCCACTGAATTGATCCTCGGATACAATAAGATTTTTCATTAATGTTTTTCTGAAATAGTCTTTTCGTTATGTTTGCGCAGAAAGATTTTATCTTTAAAAAATTTAGCAAGATATATCAAAATCTTGCGGTTGAGGGAATACTCTGTACAGTCTTCAGGTTTCTTTCGCGTTCTTCTTTCCCATTTGATTTTATCGTCTTCCCCATCAGGACTGCCGTTACCCCAAGACGCTATTATTAATTCTATCTTACACTTGTATTTTTATAAACACAACTACACTATCGTGAAGGATTGTAACTATTTTTGGCGAAATTTGTTTTTGCGCAAAGACGATAGACAATTAACGACACGAAACAACACTATTTTTTTATGTTTCTATCGTTTTCATATTTTATATTAAACCGCGCGCGCGTGTGTTTGCGTGTTTTGCTGTTTTCATATTTTCACCGCAATTTTAAATATTGCGGTTGATATTCCATTTGCTTCGTATTCCGCATGATTACGATTATATTGAATGTTAATCTAAAAATCAAATGACTCATTTATCAGGTTTCCCGACTAATTATAAAATTCTTAGTGGCAGCGTCAATAGAAATTAATATCAAGTTCGTTGTTTTCAGTATCTTACATAATTTTTAAATAAAAAATGTATCAAGTTTTTGAAACTCGATATGTAATATTTCGCACTTATTTTCTTAAAAATATTCTTCGTTGCTTGCGTGAAAACGATTGATTACTTAAAGTTTCGTTGAAAAATTACTAAGAAGAATTCGAGATTACTCAAGGAATCTATACGATTTTGCTGAACGTACGTATCGACTGATCTCTTTCGCAAGATCGTATCTCGATTTTACGCAATTTTTCTGCTTAAACACTCATTTAGGACGAGAATGAGCGTTTAAACAGAAAAACGGAAATTGCGTAAAATAGAGATAAAATCGAGATACGGCCTTGCGAAAGAGATCAGTCGACATATCTTTGACAGAGTAACGTCAATATATCACATTTTCTAAAAAAAAACGAGACAAATAACGAAATTAATTTCAATAAAGAAATCCGCTTTGTTACAATAATTGTGCCAGTCCGCGACACGATCCCGCTTGAGGAAGGATCGAAAGGACCTCCTCGGGCAGCCCCTACTACCCGCTTTCCGCGATGCTGCGCGAGATGAACGGAGGTCCTGTTTCCGGCCGATATTTAAATCCGAGGGGGACCGAATCCGCTCGACCTTAACCGAAGCGTTCGGGTCCGGCTGTCACATTCGTGGCGTACCGAATGCCCATCTCTCGTGGCGGCGACGGCGGCGGCGTCGGCGGCGTCGGCGTCGGCGGCGTAACGCGGTAATGAAAATGGCAACGCGTCGCGACGCCACGCGGGGCGGCCTCGACGGGATACGTACGGCTGCAAATTGCGCTGCTTTGTCAATCTGAAATAACATCTGCGCGGAACAATTAGCGACGACGCGAAGCTTACCGGGAGCTTCGCCGATCAGCCGGAGGATCACGTTGCACCGTTGCGGTATGGCTGACACGTACGTCCGATTCTGTAAATGTTACGATAGATCGCATACATAGTTTTGATACCGATACGGCATACATAGTTTTGCGCGTTTTATTGTAGGTAGACGAGAGTAACTGACGACGGGAGACACCGAAGAGACTGTAGAGATTTCGCTACGGTAAGCAACGTAAGTGTTATTATAATATTATTTATTACTATTGCATTTACGAGGTCTTATTATTTTTCTCTGCCTTGTCGGGGCATTTTGTAAAATTGACAATTATTTCTACGTTGCATATTACGATATCTAGTGATGTACGCGTTGTCTTAATACAGTGTTGTTTTCTGTTATGCATAAAATTTTAAATTTTGTGAAGAAGAGCATTACACACACGCGCGTACGCGCGTGCGTACGCTACACGTTCGTATATACGGTTGTCCCTCTATTTTCGCAAAGTATCTGTTTTACGTGGTTTTTTTTTACGCGGTTGAGAATCGCGTAAATAGAGTTTGCCAGGGCAAACAAAATACTTGAGATAAAAGCCTGTATATATTGTAAAAATATTTATTTCGCGTATTTATACAAAATTAATAACAATAAAAGCTCAGAAAAACAGATTTTAATTTTATTCGCTGTTGATACTCTACGCAGTCAGCCCTTTCCTTTTAATTGCTTTCAAGTTGCTGTCCTCGTCGCCAGAAATACTTGGCACTTTTACTTCAATTTCACTATCGGTGTATCTCTTTTGAAGGTATATTTTCTGATTGCGTAGAAATTCAGTCAACTGTCAATGAGACCGTGTATAAAAAGTACACGGAGGGATTAAGTACCGCGTAAAAGAACCCACGTGTAAAAAGTACCGCGTAACGCGCACACACGCGTATATACACATGTGTAGATATATCACACGGAGGATATAATATTTGGAATTTAGTACATTCACATTCTAAATTTCCTTTTGTAATAAAAGAATTATTAAGTATGGAAACAATAAGGAATAGTCTTTTGTAAAACGGCAAAGATATATCTCGGAAAAATTAAACTAGGCATGTATTTATTACATGCGAATTGTACCGTTATCAAAGTTTATATCATTAGTATATTATTTTTTTATTTACATAAACCTTTCCAAGCACGTGCGTTTCACAAGTCCCTGATAAATTGTCAAAAATCAGCGAGTGTTAGAAAACGCAGTGCTGTTTACAAATTTATAAGATACCTTTGGTATTACTGTCGTTTTCACCTTTATTTTCTCACGTAGGAAAATGTGTAAAGCTTTCAACGTTATTGTCTTTGCAGATATTTTCAGTTCGCAAGCAGAGGATAGTGAAAGTATTAATTCGCAAAAGCAAACGACACAGCACAAGCAACAACCAAGGAAATGTACCTTCAAGGGAACCCTCAGGAGAGTCCAATGAGAAATATTTCTGGGAGGGCAATGCATTTAGTGTGTTAAATCCACTGCAAAACTACATGTTAATAAAAAAAAACATTGCAAAAGAAAGACGTTTTCGGGAGACAGTAATATTTTTTATGCTAATATCCATTCCGCTTATTATATTTCACGTAAAAATAAAATACGTAATATTGTACTATTTTTTTTAAATCGTAACTCTTGATTGTATACATATATAATCTCTTTGAAGTACGTATACGTATTTTGTATTGAAGGTAACGGGAAATATTTCGATTTCGAAAAACTCATTTAGGTGCAGAATGAGCGTTTAAACAGAGAAACCGGAAATTGTGTAAAATCGAGCTACGACCTTGCGAAAGAGATCGGTCGATTTGTTTGATTAAAAAATTCGTTTTGTGTCAATTTGTGTAATTATTTCAAGGTGGTTTCTCTCAAATGATCTCTCTAGATGGTATCCGTTGGTTGTGTACCATCAGTTATTTTTACAATAGTGACATCTCTGTCTTTTAATCTACCAAGCCGCGCTTCACAGTAAATAGTAACCCGCGGTATATCTTGGACGTGATAGTAAAGCTGATTATCCCATTGTGATTAAGTTATAAGTCTATACTTGGTGACGTCGAAACTAAAGCTAAATCTAGATCTAAAGTTTGTGAAATTTACATTAAGGTTCCGACCCCTTACTGCGGCTTGAATTGCATCCTTTTATGACAGTTAATCAAGGTTTACAGCCGTCTTTTAGTCCGCGTTTCATAAACGTATCCCATCGAATATGAGTCGCGGCACGCGAAAAAGCTAATTTATTTGTACGCGCGGCTCAAGAGAAACATCTACATGGGTTATTCCGCGCAGATCTGACATCATGATCCTCGTGACGTCACGAGTACCCGTAGCGAGGGATCAAGGGTCCTAAATGAAAATTTCCATTTTACAATTGAATAAAAAACCTCGTATACCGGATTTTATATTGGGCGATGCCGCACTGTTGATGCATCGATAATAAAACGCTGCCCCCTCAATGACGAGGCTCTCGCCTGGTTACGACGGACGGGGTTACCGCGGATTTATAGTCGGCCCTGCTCTTAGGTTTGAAGATTGACCGAATTCTGACTGCGGGCTATCCATTTGTCCCAATATTCTACTTTTAACTTAACCAAGCGTCACGAGTGCTATTTCAGCACCTTCTTCTGCATTGCCAGAATCGCGCATAAAATATTACAGCCTTTTTATCATCATGGCGCTGCGGTCGCACGGACGTAACGCCGGTCAACGTCGAACAAAGTTGGGAATTTATCGCGGGCAGCTCCCTCGGTTTAATATACATAACGCCGGCTAATATTCGTCGCGCGTTTGTATTTTTGTATAAATTTTAACAGCCGACGTTGGCCGAACGCGGCCGAAAATATCCGAGACTTTGAGCCGCGCTCGTAGGCGCTTCCCTCTTGTCATCGCCCCCTCTCCCCACCTCCCCCCGCCGTGTTCCCCGCTCGTTCGTGTTCCCGCGGATACATTCTACTACTCTACTCGTTGGCTCGGTCCCTCTCTATCTCTCTCCCCCATCGTTCCTCGCCCCCGTCGTATCGTCTTCTTCTCCATCTTGCCGCAACTTCGCGCGCGATCGGGCGCGCTCGTGCGACATCGGCTCCGACTTTTGTTGCGCGCTTTGTAGAACGTATAAACGGATGAGGCTTCTTCCGGGACCGGCAACGCGGTGCTACCTCGCGCCTCCTCGCGCAGGATGTTCAAACAGGGAGCAAAGTCGCGGTCGGACTAGAACGTGCTCTCGAGTACGCTCCAGTCCGCTAATGATTCGCGTTGCATGTCCACCTCACCGACCATGGTGAGCGATCGATTCCGATCCGAATAATTTCTCACGGGTAACGTACGCGCTTCTGCCGTTATTGAGTCAATTCGGCAGCGATAATACGATCGGTTAAAAAGGAGTATGGCGGGAGAGAAATACGCCGTGAATTTTTCTCTTTTCAACGTCGAAAGACGTAGTAATCGAGTCCTCCAGGTAGCCGGCAGCGTATCGTTCACTTTCGTTCGAGTACAGTCCGTCATCGTGGCTGCATCACTACGGGTTATACCCATAGACTCTCGACACTCTCGGTTCCCGATGTTCGCGCGATCGATACGACGACCATCCCCCGTCGTCAGCCCGGCCGATTTTTTTCCGTTCGACCCTCGCGCCTGCGCGCGTCGCCGCGGTCTCCCCTTTCCGATTTCGAGCGTGCGGTAGTAGAAGGAGGGTACCCGCCGCCACCCGAAGCGGGACCGAGCGAACGAGCAAGCGCGCGGTAATAGGCACGAGGCGAGGCGAGGCGAGGCGAGACGACGCGGGCGAGGCGAAGCGGAATAACGCGAGAAGAGCAGAGAGGAGAAGAAATGAGAGAAGAGGAGAATAGAAGAAAAGAGGAGAGAAGAGAAGAGAAGAGAGAAGTGAGAAGAGAAAAGAAAAGGAAGGAAGAATGAAGAAGAGAAGAGAGGGAGAAAGAGGAGAGAAGAAGAAGAAGAAAGGAAGAAAAGAGGAGAGTAGAAAAGAAAAGAAGGGAGGAGTGTGGGGTGGAGTGGAGAGGAGAAGCGTGATCAGCGGGGCACGGGGAGGACGGAGGGGAGCGCGCCTTTATTGTAGCTGCGCGCTTCTGCCATACCCCTAGCGTTCGAACCAGAAACTCAGCACTGCCAGGGATCGCCAATACCAATTTTGGAACGCGCCAACGTCGACCGAAATTCACAAACGAGATCTCGGAATTAGCAGGGAAAATGTAGGACCGTGTGGCTCGATCGATCTCTCGAAAAATATCAGGAGGGCAGCAGGAGCGCGAGATTAAATGTATTTATGTACATTACGTCGGGGAGGACAGAGAGGGGGGGGGAGGAGAGAGAGAGAGAGAGAGAGAGAGAGAGAGAGAGAGAGAGAGAGAGAGAGAGAGAGAGAAAGAGAGAGCACAGAGGATGGAGAGACGGAGAGAGGGTGACGCATTACGCGCGGACGACACGAAACGAGCGTGAGCGGGTAATTTAACGAGAGGCGCCGTATTATTTTCGAATGGGACGTAAGGACGCTCCGCGAGAGGTACTCGCGCTTCCCTGCTCGCGTCTTGCGCTTTGCAAGCACACAGTTTCGTGGAAGATAAATCTAATGAGTACCTGGTAGAATTTCGACATTGCAAGTTATTCGCGCTCTCTTTTACAAGTCTTTTATGATGCGAGAGTTTTTGATTAATTTAAAAAATCGAGTTTTAACGTTTTAATATCGGTCTTTAGATATAATGTTTTATCTTAATTTTATCTAAACTTAATACACAAAGATTTGATAAAGCGCGACTTGATAAATAAATTGTAATATACAACAGATTTCTGAAAGTATATAACTAAATGTGCGCGTGTGTGTAAACGCGCGCGTGTACACGCACCCACATCCCTCGATTTACGCGGAGTATTTGTTCAATGTGGTTCTTTTACGCGGCTGAGAATCGCGTAAGTGGAATCTGCCAGTACAAAAAATACATAAGAGAAAAGCCCGCATACTATAATGTACGTTCTACCAAGATTATGTTTCTCTTGCTTGTCTCTATTTAATTTTAATTTCTTTTATCGCATAAATAGAGATATATTTATCGCGTAAAAAGAAAATTTACGTACACGAAGTTTCCTGCAAATCGAGGGATGATTGTGCGTGTACAATGTATATGTAATATATGTATATATTAGTTTTGCTTTAATGGTTTGATATTCTCGAAGGCGATTCAGGTTACACTGGTAAAGAGGAAAATTTGATTTACAATGGTTAACATTGCGGTCCTAAAACGCGCGTTGCATTCGACATTATCGAAATAATCCAAAATTCTGATTATATTCACAATGGAAGTCTTTACTAAATAATCAACAATCTTAATGAATATGAATCGCGACGATAACTCGAGAGTAATATCTATATTTTTTACGCGCATGTGCACATATGCTTGAGAGCAGGGGGATTAAACGAATCCCTCCTTTTAGGAGACTTGATAAAAACTTTCTTTGCTAATTGCGACGAACTCTGACAAAACAAAAAAAAGTCAATTCAGGATAATTCCATGTTTCAATATCATATCGTGTTTTAGGAGAATAGAAGAAAGGAGAAGTAGAGAATTAAATTTTTTTTTCATAAAAAAAACGATGCGTTCGCTCGCTTTTAATATTATTTGTTGATAATGATTGCAACGCGTAGCGAGTTGTTGAAATTTATATTTTATATCAAAATTGATTTCATTTTTGATTGTTAAATTTCAAATACAATCATCTCATCCTGGTCGCTTAACGCCATGTTAACGGCGGCTCAATGGAATTGGAGGGAAACGGATTGGACTCGAAGATTCGTTTCTTAACGAAAGTAGCGATCGGTCATGAACGTAACCGTTTCGAGGCAATCGGAAAAGTTAGCAAAATTAATCTGAATGAATGGAAGTAACTTTACTGCCCGAATTTTTAATTTAGAATTCAACTCGTCCATTGTTACTATGGCGACAAGTATCGCTTCGACTGTCTTTAACTTTACCTCCTTCTTAGCTATGTTTCAAATAATACTATTGCAAAATATGTAGCGGTGAATTAATAAACGAAGATTTTGAACAAACAAGGAAAAGAGAAACATCGACGTTAAACAATTAAATGCAACTCATTGTCGACTGATCGCTAGAATTTCCGTTTGCCTAAAAGAATGCACGAACTGAAGCCCGGAAAACTAAAAACGATTAGGAAATAGTTGGAAAACCTATAAAACATTTCTGAGATTTTTCACCACAAGAGATTGAATAAAATAAAAAATTGTTTGACTGGCGATATTTGTTCCATATTACATTATTTGATACGATTCTGCAATACTACTATAGTTATTTAAAACAGAATAGAATTGCCATTTATCATTTCGTAAACGATTACACGAAATAATTTGCAAAATATTGTTTATTTCTGTGTGTAGATGAGTAATTATATTTGTAAAAAAATAGTAACAAGTTCGATAAAGCTCGTTCTTTTCGCGAACACATTAATTTTTATAAATGTTTATGCATATGTTAACATATGTATTTCTAATTATATAATTTTAGTTTACGATTGTTCGAGAAAACAAGCGAAAATGAAAATAAAACAAAGACTTCTTTTCAAATTTCATTTGACAGTTATAATTTCTGCAAAATTATCTAACTTGCCTCATTAAATAATAAAAGGAAAAGTTCGACAAATAAGCATAAATTATTAATACTCACAAACTTATGGATTGACGCTACGAGGAAAATTAAATTTCTTTATATATGTATAACAGTCATAATTACCACAGATCGAACAAGTGGTGATAAAAGCATTGACAAGGTATTATATATGATCGTCTAATTATTTGTGTGATTCTAGCATCTCATCTCGTATATATTTATATTAATATGGATAAAATTCGATTTTATAATAAGAGTAAAAGTAATATCACATACTTGATATATTATCAATTTTCGTATACATTATATTGGAGAAATGAATAATAAAATGATATTATTTATTTATTTTTAATAATATTTGTAGAATCTGCTTGAAGATTCGGTTCGATTTAAACAAACTTCAATTTAAAAAACTGAAGTGGTTGGAAATATTTAAGGAATATGTATTGCTTCTATCGGTTGTAACTTCTATTTTTCCAGTGGGTTTTCTTCGGACAATGACTATTTCTGAAAATATGAATCTCTAAAGCGCGTGATCCAGGACCCGCGGTTTTTACTTAAAAATATAGAACGGTAGCTTGAGATTGCGGAACGGTGACCGTCCCCGCTTTCGTTTTGGCTTTTTCGAATCGATCGAGAATTCGACTCGTGGCGCTACGCTGTACACGCGGGGGATATTAGTATATCTCGTGAAGATTTTAACGTAGCGATCGATCGAGTTAGAGTTCATCAGTAGTGCGGCGCACATTTATGTGTGCGTGTTTGTGCACGCGCGCGTGCGCGTACTGTTGTACGAGTGTGTGTGTGTGTGTATTCAATTACAGAAAGTCGAAATCGTCGTTCCATAGTCGAAATTCGGCTCGATCCGTTCTCCAAGCGTATATATTAAGCATGCTACAAAATAATACATGGCCATGGTGATGTCCATGCAGCTGCAACTGGCCGTGCAAGCTGAACGCGTAGCGGTGAGTTCTCTCTCTCTCTCTCTCTCTCTCTCTCTCTCTCTCTCTCTCTCTCTCTCTCTCCCCCCCCCCCACTCTCTGTCCCCTCTCTCTCACTTCTTCCCCACTATCCTCTACTATGTTCTCTCTCCCTTTCTCCATTACTCTCTCGTAGCGACTAGCTCGCTTGCTCGCTTGCGCGTTTCCCTCCGTTTCTCCACTTCTGAGTTATATTTAGGTGAACTCTGGTATTATCCGACGGGCTGACGGACGTACGAGCGGATGGACGTACGGACGGATGTACGAACGGACCCGTCGTACCAACTGGAACCAGAGGGCTTTTACTATCCTGTCCGTTACGTCTGACGGCCCGTGCGACACGGTAGCTCGCGGGTCCAGTTCGATGGATCGATATACGTCGACATCCGGCAGGCGCGACCGGCACGACGACAGTCGGACAATCCGCGAGTCTATCTCGTTGCTAAATCACGGCCGTTAGATCGACCGGCCGAAATCGGCGATCGCTCAACTTTCGGAGCGGTTCCGATAGTCACCGGAAAAATGCTGCAGTGAGCGTGGTAGTCGGGTGTTACCGACCAGGAGCAGACTTTACCACGTTAAGTTACCGAGTTTAATGAAATTCCTTAACCGGGGACGCCGGATTTCTGCTAATATTTTTTTTCCAAACCTTTTTAATTGTGTAATTTCTTACTTTGCGCAAGTTGTTCTAATAAGTATGATAGAGATCTCCATTAAACAATAATAACATTTGCTACGAAGCAACCGAAATAGAATTAAAGGTAACAATTCTCGAATTGATCTGGAATTAAAATGTAAGCGAAGGCAACAATTTTCTCCAGCAACCTCCACATCGCTTAACAAATATTATAACTTAAGAAAAATTACTGCGAATGAAGAGATTAATAAGTTATTGGTATCGCGATATTTTTATTATAAATAAAATTACCGACCATTATTTTAAATTATTTCATCAATCTGTACTGAAACGCGAGAAAGCCGGCTAAACGTACACGCTCATCCAGGATGCAATTAGTATAGGTACAGGTAAGAGCGTACAGAGGGCGAGAGAGAACAGCGAGGGACGCGAAAAAAGCGCATCGACGGGGATACAGATTATACAAATGGAAAGATGTCTCGCTATGATTTTGGATGGCCCGGTGCGATTCCCGAGAATCGCAAAGATTCGGCGATATATTTCGTGATCTCCGCCTCATTTCTTGTTACGCCTCCGTAGAACGATTTTTTTTTTATAATTCTACCTAATGTATGTACATTGCATTTATACCTGGCATATTTATTATTACTTTTGTACCTTATGTACGTTATACTAGCCGACCGCGAATACTCATCGTAGCATAATTGTATTATTTGTTGGCCCGCGCGCTGTATGTAACGTTAAAGCCGGCGGTAGGGCTTCGAGTTCGGTGTCGATGGATCGATATCCACGTCCATCTGCTTTCTCGCCGCGCAATTCCGAGCGTTAGAAGCGAGTCGAATGTTTTCCGTCATTCTCGCGTCACCACGCGATTCGATCGTCTCCTCATGATAAACACCTCATCGCCGAACCGAGCGCGCCCGATTTTTCCGAAAGCTAGCCGGTCTCGATTGTCTTGGAGACGTATGAGATTGAGTAGAAAGGGAGACATTGCATAGCGCGCGCGATTAACTTTTCGCGAAAGAATACGAAAATTTTCCATGTCGACCATAAGATGGTTATCTTCAGAAATATATGTCAATTTTTTCAACTTGAATATTACATGGTGAGAAATAGCGCGGTTATATAGAGGAAAGTCCTCTATTATAAGATAGGATTCTAATACGAGATAGTCAACGGCCAAATTCAATGACAAATCTATTGTCGCAATGATTACACGACCTAATCGATTTTCCCCTAAACAGATTTCACTCCAACGGCAATAAATTCATGGTGGAACCAACAGATGATGCACATTAATTTAGCAGAAACGCTATTCCATATTAGGATCTTATCACATAATAGGAGTCTTTTCTCTGTATTTCTTATATCTCATGTTACTCATATTTTGTACCTCTTTACGTTTCCTTTTATCCTACTGTCTTCCCTACGGTGACACACAATTATCAGACTCAATCCGCGGAAATTAACCGTCTTGTTGTCTCTACAAGTGAGTCACTTGCTAATTGAAACTCCATCTTTCTTGTCTATCACAACATATCATTTTCCATTTTCTTAAATCAAACTTGGAAAATATTTTATAAAATAATTTTGCCTATTTGCAGTTGGCAGTAAAATTCTTTACTTAATTTCGATCGGTATCGATTTTATACTGTATAATAGAAAACTTGACACATTCATTAATTTAATAAGTATAAATATTAATTGATATTAGTATTATAATATATTAAGATATTAATATAATATTAAACAGTCTAATGTATGTAACCACTATAATATTAATACTAATACCAATATATAAACATAAATAAATTTTGACACTTATAATTTTATGCCCTAAGATGTCATCTTAATGTAATGTTATTTTCTTAAGGAGAAAAATATCATTAACGTAAAATCTGCTACTTATCTTGATTAAAAATGAGTCTAGTATTACGGGGATATTAAAAATAATACTAAAATGAGATCATAAAAAATTCATGTTAAAGCGTTTAATCCGATTTTTTCAGCTCTCTCTATAATTTTTTTTACGACATAATTTTAAAGCAGACTAGTCATGTAGTGTAAATACCGAGCTCGAAGGTTGAACGATATTGATCTGAAAATTTCGCAAATGTCATAAAAACAAAGCATTTGAACTGTCGAGTAATTTTGTAAGAATTGAAAAAAAATGACGTCTCTCTCCTTTCTCTCTCTCGCCAGAATTATCGATAACATGGACGGCGATAAATGTAACCAGAAATATCGATATCACAGAGACTTTTAAAAATTTATGACAGTTTAATTGAAACACACAAAATTCCTCTCTCTCTCTCTCTGAGGTACAAAGCGACTAATTCCGCTGGTAATGCGCAGCCGTTACGCACGTGTATTTATTCGTTTGCCGTAATGCATACATTAATATCCTAATAACACCCCTCGATATCGCGAATTTCAATAAATTCAATCGATTTTTCCGCGTAGGTATTCGACAAGCTGCCTGTTTCGTTTTACAACGAGTAGAGGTTGAAAATAATATAATAGTTTTGTTTTTTAAATATATAACATCTAGCTGTGTTTGATTTTTCTATAGGAAATGGATATATCGTAATATATAGGTACAAGCTATTTCAAAACAGACACCACTATGCGGCAGACACATTTCGAACACTATATAAATTTTTGGCACTCGCGTGCTTGGAAATTGATTTTAATTCCAATTAATCATTAAATACAACTGTTTGGAGATTAAAGACTCGCGAGTTAATTGAAAGTGCGAATGTCCAAGTTTCAATTTTACTAATATAAATTACTTGAAAGCCTCGTCGCACTTTATTAACATGTGGTGCATTGCACTTGCGTAGAACGAGAGCATTTATCTAGAGGGAAAACAAGCGCGAGAAAGAAATTATACGCGCGTTTTCCTCGTAGCTATATATAGGTAGGCCAAATAATGGCCGTGAGAATGTAGATATATCGCCTATCCGCAGGTGAATCTCAAATCCCAAGTAGTAGTTACTTGTAGTAAGTTACTAATAGTAATCCCAAGTAGTTGGTTATTAATTCCATAATCGGTGTTAAGCAAGTTCTTAAGTATATCCGTATATGCACGTATCCATATGTAGGTCCTACCCACTGTGTAACAGGTGGAAATTGGTGCAGTGTTTTTTTTTCCACAGATTCTTTATTAAATGCAATCCGAAAAGGTTTTAATTCCAATCCACATTTTCTCGCTTCTTTTCTCTTCTCTCGTGGACAAAGTGTGTGTCTTATGCAAGTAATATTCACGGACTGATATCTTAAATTTGAAATGCCAAGCCGCGAGGGTTCTGTAATCGTCGATCGTATTTCGCAGAAACTTTTGAGATTTTCGAAAAGCACGAACGCTGCGGAATCGATCGTGCGGTAGCGAGCAGTGACGATTTGCGGAATCGCTTACTCGGTAGCAGAATCGTGAGAGTAACAGAGATAAATGGCGAGAATGAGAGAGAGGGAGAGGGAGGGGAGAGAGAGAGAGAGAGAGAGAGAGAGAGAGAGAGAGAGAGAGAGAGAGAGAGAGAGAGAGAGAGAGAGAGAGGAGAGAGAGAGAGAGGAGAGAGAGAGAGAAGAGGAGAGAGGAGAGAGAGAGAAGA